TCATTAATAAAGATATTGAACAAAACCGGTCCTAGAACCGAACCTTGGGGCACTCCGCTAGAAACCGACCGCCATCCTGACATCGAGCTGATGATCACTACCCGCTGGGCCCAGCCTTCTAGCCATCTTACTGTCCATTTATCCAATCCACATTCCCTTAACTTGCTGGCAAGAATATTGTGGGAGACCATATCAAAAGCCTTGCTAAAGTCAAGGTATATCACATCCACTGACTTTCCCACGTCCACAGAGCCATCCTCATCATAGAAGCTAATCAGATTGGTCAGGCACGACTTGCCCTTTGTGAATCCATGCTGACTATTCCTAATCACTTTCCTCTCTTCCAAGTGCCTCAAAATGGATGCCTTAAGGATCCCTTCCATGATTTTTCCAGAAACCGAGGTAAGACTGACCGGCCTATAGTTTCTTGGATTGTCCTTCTTCCCTTTTTAGAAGATGGGCACTACATTTGCCTTTTTCCAGTCATCCGGGATTTCTCCCGACCTCCACGACTTTTCAAAGATAATGGCCAAAGGCTCCTCAATGACGTTTGCCAAATCCCTCAGTACCCTCGGATGCATTAAGTCCAGACCCATTGATTTATGTACGTTTAGCTTTTCTAAATAGTTCCTAACCTGTTCTTTACCCACCACGGGCTGTCCACCTTCGTCCCATCTTGCGTCACTTTGAGCATTAGTCCGGGAGCCGACCTTACCCGTGAATACAGAGGCAAAGAAAGCATTGAGTACTTCAGCTTTCCCCACATCATCTGTCACTACGTTACCTCCTTCATCTTTTCTTTTCTTTTCCCCTCCCCCACGGCTCTGTGCCCAGCCAAGCGCAGTGCTGGGTCAGGAGCCACCTTTGGCCACGAGAGCCCCATTGGCGTGTCCTCCGTGGATGGGCAGGGGATGGAGGGGGTGGGAACTGAGGAAGCAGCCCAGGCTAAGGGACGTGCTGGCCACCGCTTCCCACCGTTCCCCTTGCCGGGGGGTTCGTAAAATTGTACCAGACAGAAAAGGGGGCCATATGCTCGAAAAGGTTGGGAACCCTAAGGGCACGTCTGCACTTCTTAGGGAAGCCTAAGAGCTGGGCACCATCCGGGTACTCTACTCACAGCGGGACGCCTCCTTGTGGCCACCGAGGATGAGCTCTGCCAGTCTGATGCCTCTTCCTGCAGATGCTCACTCCAGCGTTCCCCCCCAGCCTGCCCCCTCCTCTCTGGGCTGCAGCCCGGGGACCGTACCCCCCCAGCTCAGGGCTGCACAGCCCCACACCTTGCTGCTGTTTCCCTGGGCAGCTTCCTAGAGTGTTTCTATAAGACACTGTCTCCCCCATCCTCCGGACTCGTCCTTCCCTCTAGGCCTAGCTCCCGTCTCTCCCTCGCCTCAGGGAGAATGACTGCAACTCTCCTCCCTGCGGCCCCATTCTGCCTTCAGCCGTGCACACACCCCAGCCTCATTGCTCCCTGGCTCCTGCCGCAGGTGCAGCCTAGGCACTTAACTGGCCCCTCTAGCCACCTCATCCCCTTCAGGGGCTGGTGGTGCGCAGCCTGTCGCAGGCACCTAACTCCCTTGCAAATCTCATCTGTTACAGACAACAAAGGGTGCAAAGCATCCTGTGAGAAGGTCTGCTTTCCCTTACGCTCTCCTGTTGGCCTCATTTTGCATGCACACATACACTCATGCACACACATATGCACATACTCATGCATGCACACGTGCACACTTATTCACGCATACACACATGCACACACTCATGCACAAATGCACACACTTGTGCACACATGTACATATGCACGTGCATGCACGCACACTCTTGCATGCACACATGCTTACACATACACATTCATGCATACACGCACATGCACACACTCATGCATGCACTCACAGGCACACAAGTGCTCACTCATCTATGCACACACTCATGCATGCACACATACACAGCCATGCTGACACTCACCATGTGAATGGTAAATCATTGCAAGTTACACTGTGGCTTGGTTAACACTTGTAAGTTAGGTCAATATTGGTCAATATCACTATAGCTCTGTGTGTGTGCGTGCGTGAGAGTGAGAGAGAGAAGAAATCCATCCCTGACTACCACATGTATGCCAATCTAATCCCTGGTGGGCATGCGGCTATATTGATGGATGAACGCTACCATCACTCAGGGTGGCAGTGTTCCTTCATCTATGAAAATACCCCTTCCACCACTGTAGGTTGTGTCTACACAGATAGAGATACAGATATGACAATCTAGCTATGCCCATGTCATCTTCCTAGCACAGACACACCCCGTGCTGGCCAGCCATGTCTGCACTGTGCTCCGCCCACAGTGAACATGTAACTTACACCACAGTAGGCTCCCTGCTGACTTTGGCCCAGCGATTCCATGAGAATTGCGCCTGGACTCCAGACTTACGTTTGCCCCAAGCCCCAGATCAGTGCAAGTTTTTCCACATGCACCAGTTCCTGACCAGACGTGTACTCCACGTGCAACTCGCACGCCTAGAACCAGCTCCTTCGTGCCAGACCCTCAGTGCTGACACGGACACAGCCCACACGAAGTCATCAGAGCTACGCACCGATTTACACCCGCTGAGGATCTGGCCTGTAGTGGCTCTTGGCTGGGGGTGAGTCACACGCTCCCAGAGGACGTCTTTGCTTGTGGGCTCTGGGGTCCCCACTCACGACCATTTTCCTCTCTGTTGCCCAGGTTTCCAGATGGCGCCCTGCGGGTGCTTCTTTGATCCCCGGATTTACCGCATAGAATGGTCAACCACCAATTTTGTGCAGCCATCGGTTTATAAACTCACCGGTGGATCGACGTCGCCAAACACGTATCTTCTGGACCCCCCGAGATACCTCAAGAGTCCTATCCAGACAGTTCCCTACCCGCCTTACCCCCACATCCCCAGCAACCTCCAATACATCATGCCTTATTTCAAGCAGGAGAGCCCTGCCAGTGGGACAGAGCAAGTGAATTTGGTCCCCAACCCACTCCACGACTCTCCCTTTCTGGAGATGCCTCAGCCCCAAGAAGAAAGGCTGGTTGAGAACAATGACAACAAACTGCCCCAGCTCCTTATAACGCTGCCTGCACTCTGCCAGAGCGAGCAGGCCCTCCAGATGAGCAACTACAGCCATCTTAAGGGCAGGCTAAGTCCTCACGGCCCCGGATTCCAAGGGTTTGATGGCTTCCGGGTGGAAGGGGGAGACCTCAAAGAAAATCATGTCAGCCAGCCCCTTCCAGTCAATACCCAGCTCCCAGACACTTGCACTGCAGACCAAACCCCTCTCTCCAGTCCCCGTGTTGCAAACACACAGGCGACGGCGGAGACAGCGACACGCCCTTGGCAAGACAACGTCCGAGCCGAAGGCAGCAAAGGGCCGGACACAGAGGAGCCCTTCGAGCTGCCGGAGAAGGTTCTGCTGGAAGATGCAATGAAGCTCTTCGATTGCTCTCCAGCCAACTCGGACACGGAGGTCGCCAGAGACGCCCTCGGCACCCCGCCGACGTCCAGCGAGAGCAAAAACAAAGATGACGGCTTCCCGGGCGAAGACTCCCCCAGCGACGTACGGTCGCTCAATCTGCCCGATGAGCTGCTGTCCTTCGACTACAGCGTGCCAGAGATCCTCACCACAGTGGCAAGCCTGGATTATTTCTATGACCTCGAAACCTTCAGCGAGGAGCCCAAGTGGGATCTGGGGCCTCCCCAAACCGACGTGTCACTCCAGGGCCCCAGGCAAGAGCCCCACGGCAAAAAGAAGACCAGCGCCGCCACAGCGAAGAAAGGAAAGCAGACAGACAGCAAAAATAAACCCACCTCGGCCCGGGACAGCAACGCCTCGGACAGGCAGGAACGCCCCGTGCCTGACGTCTGACGGGTGCTTTCAGAGTGACTGTAGGGAAGTAAAACGGGGCTATGTGGTTGCCTGAGCAGAAAGGGCCGTCCTCCTATTATTCTATTAAAAGTGATCTGTCCGGAAAGCCAATCTGTGCCCGCATTTAAGAGGCGGTTCTAAGAGTGTCCCACACCCTGCAAGGAGCGGAGAAAGGGACATGGGTCTGCAAGAGCACGCGGAGGGTCAGTCAACCTCGCGGGCTCGGTCATTCCTCATTCCCAGCTATTTGGAAAGGCTACGGTTAGGCGATGAGTTGCGGGTCTCTTCAAATCTAGAGGGGTGGGTGTGCCTGACTAATTCAGGCTCTTATCACAACTGCCTTTTGGGGCGGAAGGGACAGAAAGTCCCCCGGGGAAATTAATTCCTTTTCCTTCTTCAGAGGAAGCCAATTTCAACACACACTGGCAGTACAAAGGGGCGGTTTCTTCCAGCTGTGGGTGCCTGCAAAGTGGGGGTGTCAAGTGCTGCTCAGACACCCCCTCTTTGACCATCCAAGGTGCAGGGCAGTGGGAAAACAAGGCCTCCTGGGGGAACATGAGCAGCAGAACTCTGCGCTCCTGCCCACCCAGGAGTGCATGGCAGTAGACTGCCAGCCGTAGGCCAGTCGCGGGAGCGTGGATCTAGGAAGCTGATTGGGGGGGGGGGGCATGGGAATGCAGCACCAGCCAGGTCCCAGAATGCATGATGACTGGACTCTGTAACTAGGATAAGGCTTCCTTTGAGTGATGTTTCAAGGAGCAAGGCAGAGATGGCGTAGCTCACCCCTCCATCCCTCTCTGTTTAGAGTGTTAATTAGCTCCCGACAGCTCCTCTGGGCCCACCCCTAGGGTCTGCTCCCTTGCACCCACATGCCCCATAATTGAGGAGGCAACTGGTCTAACGAGGTGACTCATGGGTCCGGGGGCACACCACAAGCCCCAGCGCCTTGATGCTGGGCCAGGCAGTGGTGCCTGGTGTGTGCAGGGGAGAAGGGACATTCCTCCCTCCCCGCTCTGCACGGGGCTAGTTGAGAAGATGGGAGCCCAGGGAAAGAAGAGAAAGGAAGGAGCTGGCAGAAAGACTCCAGGGGGCAGCAGGTGCCTCTGCCTCAGTTTGCCCCGTTTCTTTGCTAGCTGGGATGCAACAGAATGTCCACCGAGGGCCTGCGTGTGGTGATGGCCCGGTGCAAAGGACAAGCACAAAGGCCTCTCTGCAGCAGTGTTGGCGTGACTGAGGCTCCGTGTCCTTCCTGACTTCGCTGCCCATGCACACAATGGGGTTAGTTCAGGCTCTCGGGGCTGCCATGGCAACCAGGGCATGGACCACAGCAACCAACTGTTCCCTGGCTCTGTCACTTGGACAGGCCGCACCCAGGCCCTCACCTTTGTAGGTAGAGCAGGCGGGGGACACAGCCTCACCCTGGGCCAACTGCTCCTTCCCTAAGGGAGGGGTCAGGGCCTGGGTCAATGGGCCATCCTCAGCATGAAGGAACCAGGCCACAACCGGGGACGTTGCTTGCACTTTCCTCCAAAGCATCTGGCTCTAGCCCCGGTTGCAGACAGGCTAGAGGACAAGCCGGCCCCCAGAGCAGACGAGGTTCCTTCCTTCCTACAATGCGGCTGTGTGCAGAGACCTGGCTACGTTGCTGCTCAAAAGACAACGTGGACTCCCGCGTGGTATCTCGGTGGAACCGAGGGCATCCGCTTTGAGCCACAAAACCCTGAGCAATGTAAGACCCTGCACCTCCGGGCGTCTCCATGCGACGCCATCACAGCTGCAATCTGCACAAGCCAACATCCCCCCCCACCCAACTTAAGTGGCAGGGGGCCTAGATTCCTGTACTCATCACTGCTACTCCTTTGCCCCAACCCAGCCCAAAATATAACATCTAGTGCCCCAGCTTTCCCCCAAGGCAAGAGTTAAGAGAGAGAGATTGGTTGAATGGAGGAATCAATTAAGCTGGGGGAGTTGTATTTTGAAAGATGGGATCAGTCGGCAAGCATTTATACAAAGGTTATTTATATAGCCCGATGTACGTTATCCAGCTTTGCTTTACAAGCACCTGCAACCCTGGTGAGGTGCTGAACAATGCCAAATAAAACTATGTAATGCAATAAAAGTCACTTTTTTAAACCTGTTCCCAACATTACGTTTCGGATAGCCTCTGCTTCTTAACCATTCTGCTCCAGCTGCCCCTTAAATCGGTCCCTTTGTATGATGCGCATCAGATACATCAAGTCCAATTACTAGCCTGCTTTGCCATAGAGCTCCTCCCAAAAAAGAGTTTGCAAAAGCATTTTGAGATTGGAAAGTTATTTCCAAGTGGCAGGGCTTGCACCCTGCAATTGCAGGGATTTTTTTCCCCCACCAAAACATCTCTTCTAATTTATTAGGTTTTTGGTAAAAATAAAAAAAAATCAGCAATTGTTTCCATAGTCACATGTGTGCCATGCACGCTGGCTGGGGGCTATGTAAACACCTTCATTCAATGGCATTGTGCGCGCTCTAGGAGAGGCTTTTATTAATACTTCCTTTATTGGTCTTGTTTGGACTATTAGCGCTCCAGGACCAGGAGCGCCCTGTCTAAGCAGCCCAGAGCCTCACTCTCACCACTGGAGTCAGCAGGAGACAGTCACAGTGGCTAGAACTAGGGATACAACAGCACCCCTGTGTTGAAGTAGTTTCCTTCACATATGGGATTGACAGCTTTCAGCACCCCCTCTAGACAAATTGCTTGAGCACTCACCATCAATGTTTCCTGTAAGTGGAGTGCTTGTGCAGCTGCTCCAGAGGGATTCAAATGCCAGGCAGCTAATTAGAGTGCCCCTAACTGGGGTTTTGTTTCTACTGGTGGTGCACAGTCTCACATGCCTCAGTGCACCGAGGAAAAAAATATTCCACACCTTGATGGAAAGGGAAGGGGGAATGTTCACAGCTACTATTTTTAAATGAGGTAAAACTCAAGGGTATATAAGGCAAACCAGACTCCCAAATGTCTGAAGTGGTTGAGAGCTACTGAATTAGTACTTTTAGGCTGTGTCTAGACTGGCAAGTTTTTCCTGCAAAATCTGCTTTTGCGGAAAGGCTTGCCAGCTGTCTACACTGGCTGCTTGAATTTCTGCAAGAACACCGACGATCTCATGTAAGATCAGTGTTCCTGTGGAAATACTGTGCTGCTCCCGTTCAGGCAAAAGCCCTCTTGCGCAAATTATTTGCACAAGAGGGCCAGCTTAGACAGCACAGTGCTGTTTTGCGCAAAAAAGCCCTGATTGCCATTTTAGCTATCAGGGCTTTTTTGCACAAAAGCGTGTCTAGATTGGCATGGACACTTTTCTGCAAAAAAGTGCTTTTGTGGAAAAGCATCCATGCCAATCTAGATGCTCTCTTCCAAAAATGCTTTTAACAGAAAACTTTTCCTTTAAAAGCATTTCCGGAAAACCATGCCAGTGTAGACGTAGCCTTAGTGTAAGTAATGGAAACTCATCTAGGCTGGCCTGGTTCAGCCCCCACAGGCAACCCCATCCAGAGCTGTCATTACATTAATCACTAGCAATATGGCTCCAGAGGGAAACCCCATTGTTGTTGCCCAGTAACACGTGCTAGGTAGGCTCTGCCTCTGTAGCACAAGCAGTGAAGGGGGTTCTCTGTTGATGCAGGTAATCCACCTCTGCGTGGCAGCAGTCAGACTGACAGCAGTATTCCTTCTGCAGCCAGACCCAGGGTGGAGTAGGCTGGGGCATGGGTAGCAGGTAGCATAGGCAGGAGAAGGCTTTGCCTTCCCAAACCGCCAGTCTGGCCCTGCTCACACTCCCCCCCCCCTCCCCAAATGCCTACTGTAGGCAAACTAGGGGCAGAGCGTTGCTTCCAAGCGCCTGCCCTCCACACCTCTGACCCTTCATTCACCTCCTTGGGAGGGCCTCTTGGCTCCTGCGTTCGAGGAAACAGGGGGGCAGGGTTGGGGCTTTGCCTCCCCCAGCCCTCCCTTCACCCACTGCCCATGCACTGGGTGTGAACTTCAGAGCCCTCAGCCACTCAGCTCAAGTGATGTTTTACACAGGCCAGGCTGCAGAAAGCCTTTTACAGCCTAGGGATTTCAGACTCCCTGGCCACTGGCTAAGTAGTTATCTAGCCCCATAAAGAACCTCAGAATCATAGAATACTAGGACTGGAAGGGACTATCAGAAACATCCAACACAGGGTCCCCTCCCATGTTTTCCTTTGCAGATTTTCTAGTCTTACTAAGGCCACATTCTGGGCTGCCCGAGAAGCAGGGTCCACAGCCACACGCATTCTGGGAAAGGCCATAACCCTCTTTACTGAAACAATCAAAAGCTGCTTTGTAGACCACCTGTTTTTGGGGGGAGGGGAAGGGGAAGGGATGCTCTGCCCCAAAAATTTGTAAGGGGAAAACTTATTGTAGGACCACAGAATGACAGTGGCAGCTACTGGCAAAGCAAACTGCCCTGATCCCACCCTGCAGGGAACAGAATGGCTAGTTGAGTCCTAGAACCCGTACCACTAGGGAACATTCTCCATGTCTGCGGGACAGGTGTCTATCCTTTGGAGTAGGAGTACTTGAGTTTTATAGCTGCCAGAAGGCAGGGAAACAGCCAAGTGCAGGATTAAGGGAGCCTTCCTTTTATTAGGAGACTGATTTTGAAAGCGGAAAGTTTTCAAAGGGGGAAGATATTTTTGCAGCCTGCAGAGCACCCAAGAAAGATGCGAGAAGGAAAACAACCATGGTACAAGCAGGTGCCTGGAATGCTTGTCTCTTTATTGATCCTTTTAACATTCCTTCTGTACAACCTCTCCTGTGCACCACTAACCCTCCCTTCCAAAGCTGCCTATTTACATCTGTAACACCAGCCTGGCAGATGCAGCCACCACCTGACCGGGTCTCTACTCCCCCAGGCAATGCATTGTTCGGAGCACTGAAAGCGACGTTACTGGATCAGAAAGAGGAACGCGTCCATGAGTCTTGCTGGTGGGAGGTGCAGGCTGAGACGCAACCGCCATGATGTGGTGACCGGTAGCTTGGGAATTCAAGCCGTGAGCTACAACGTCTCCGCGGCACGGCTCAGCTTAAAGTCTAGATACTAGACAGCGCGCGGACAGACGCGGCCACCCCAGCGAGAGAGATTGTGGCCGTGCGGTCCATCCTCTTCCACAGCATCTCACCTCCCAAGCCGACTGTCAACTGGACATCCTTGTGAACCCCTACGTTCCCAACTTCAGACCCCAGCTTCCTGCAGGACTGCATTTACATGGTTAGGTATCCCAGTGACCCTGGAAAGTGGTTACTTTACTTGAGAGAAGAAAAGAAAAAACAAAAAGGAGGATGAGACACACTAGTGTCTTAGGACCAGCTTTCCTCTCCCAATGCTGTTGTAGAACCCTTTGGTACCATCTGGCCCATGGGGCAGGCGCATCACCCCAAGCCGAAGGCTCAAGGAATCAGGCATCTTTCTTGGAGCCAGAGAGCTGCAGGGTAGAATCTGGGTTTCTGGAGGCTGGCTTTGGGCAGCTACCCGGCGCCTCTGGACCCATGAGCTGCCGGAGCCAATCCCACCGTCCCAGCGGAAGTCAGACAGCCTTCGGAACTCGGAACTCGTGTCCGGGCTGGAGAAGGAGCTGCCCTTCCCTGGCCTGGCCACCAAGGGCGTGGCCACCAAGGGCGAAGGGCCGTGGGGTTGAGCCAAGCTTTTGCTGGAGAGAAGAGGGCCGGAGTGCGGGCTGCTGAAGAAGCAGGGTTTGACGCTCATGCCCAGGCTGTAGAGGCTGCTGGCGGACCACGCCGGAGCAGAGAGATACTTCTGCATGAGCACAGGAGGGGAAGCCGACGTGCCGTCCGACTCCGAAGAGCTGCAGAAGAGAGAGTCTCCCGCGGTGCCATCCAGCCTCTCCGACCCCGGATGCTTCCTGGCTACCTTGTCCACCAGCTCCCCTTCGTCAGCATCGTCCCGCTCAGCCCCGCTCTTCTTTTTGGAGCCCTTCCCGGAAAGGCGGATCACCTTGATGGTCTCCCCAGCGGGAGGGCCCTGACCACGGCTCAGCTCCTCGTACGCCTTCCTCGCGCTCTCCAGACTTTCGTACTCCACCAAGGCGCAGCACTTGGTCAGCAGCTCCGGGTAGCGGGCGGAATACTTCTTCATGTCAGAAGGCAGCTTCTTGCCGGGCCGCAGGATGCGGATGGAAGTGATGGCACCGAAAGGGCTGAACATTTTGGTGATCGTCTCGATGAAGCTCTTCTGGAGAAGTGGAGACGCACCTTGCTCCAGGGGGAGGAGGTTCCAGGCTAGCAGCAGCTTGCTCGGCGGGATGCTCAGGAGAGACTCCGGGATGGGGATTTTCCGCCGCACCTTCGTCCCTTCTTCGTTCACCTCCAGCAGCTCCGAGAACTGCAGGGCATGGAGAGTGACCCTCCAGTCACGGGTTAGGTATTTCACCTGGGCGCAAGAGAGAAGGGAAGCCGTAGTCTCCTGCTGTCCTGATAGTCAGACCGCCCCCTCGGCACGTACTAGCACAGTGGGAAACTTTTTTGGGGTTGGGGGTCGCTGACCCACAGGAAAAAAGTTACGGGCTGCACAGAAGTGAGAAACAATAAAACTTCAAACCCCCGACTGAGCAGAAAGACACCCCCCACATTCCCCTCAGAGCCTAGCGGGGCTCAGGCTAGTAGATACTGTGGGGGGGTCGTCCCCCCCCAGCTCTGGGGTGGGGCAAAAATGAGTGGCTCGGTGTGGGGGAGGGGCTGTCAGGAAGCAAGATTGGAGTGTGAGGCCAGGGCAGGAGCTGGCTGGGGGTGTGGATCTTGGCAGAAGGAGGGGGCTGGGGCGGGGGGAGGGAATGGGGAGGCGGGGAGAGAAAATGGACACAGGGCTAGAGCACCAGTGCTGGTGGGGAAGCTCTGAGTCTTGAGACCAGATCCAGGCATGGGGGAGAGGGGGGAGGATCTGGCACCAGGGCCATAGGTTCCCCACTCCTGTACTAGCACATACCATAGAGCCCTCTGCCCCAGCAACTCTGGTACAGTCCATGTGAGGCATGGCTCCCCGTGTACCCCTTCCCCTCCCCTATAGGCAGAGTCCTGTTCCCAGCCCCAGGCAGGATCCCCCTCAGCCCAGGCAGTGGGAAACGAATCCGGGAGGAAGCACCCGCAGAAGACACGAATAAAAACGTTGCTCTAGGAGGAGCGTCTGGAAACTGCCCCATTCCAAACCCCTGAAAGCGAGGCCCTGCGGGAGGGGAGCCGCCTGCCCCGAACATTGTGCAGGAGGAACGTGCACGGACGCTGTCCAACACGCCACCTGGCCCTTGGTTATTCAGACAGAGCCATTCGAGCGCAGGCTGCTCCACGGGACGTGGCCCCAGACCCCCGTGTTACTGGAAGGGCCCTCCGAGGGCACAGCCAAACCCCTGCTACTGCAGGCAACCTCGGCCTAGAATCCCACCCGGTTAGTCAAGCATCTCCTGAAAGCTGGTTAGTCACAGCCACTCCTTGTGGGAGGCAGCAAACCCCGGTGGTCACACCCATCATGGAAACAGGGCATGTGTGTCAAGGGCAGGGGGGAGAAGACCCCATACTTCTCAGCTGAAGCACACAGGTTGCCCACAGGGGACAGCCTTATGTTCACCATCACTGTTCCCAGGGCTGTAACCTGACCGCTGGTGGGAACAGCCTATGCTGACAGCAGAGCATTTGGGTGTTTTAATTGTTCTTAATACCACAATTTCCTCCTCCTTCCACCTGCTCTGTTGCTCTTTCCTTCTACTTTGGTCTGAGGGTGCCAGCTGAAGCACACAGGTTGCCCACAGGGGACAGCCTTATGTTCACCATCACTGTTCCCAGGGCTGTAACCTGACCGCTGGTGGGAACAGCCTATGCTGACAGCAGAGCATTTGGGTGTTTTAATTGTTCTTAATACCACAATTTCCTCCTCCTTCCACCTGCTCTGTTGCTCTTTCCTTCTACTTTGGTCTGAGGGTGCAAA